TGTTTTTTCCTAACAAATTTTCGCAATTTATACAGCATTTACAGGATTTGGTATGAATATGAACACTGAAATAAGAAATATACAATGTATATTCAGATTAAAACAGCACTATGACTCCATACAACTTTCTGTGTCACTTACACTGCCACTGGCAGTGGTCAGGAAACAAGCAAGATGGTCGACATTTTGGAGAAAAATGTCTGTAAACCTCTAGAAAATGTGCTCTCATAATAGTCTCTCAGATTCTAATTCAATGTACAAAATCAACTTGTGAAATGTTCCAAGATGCATTTTTGGGGTACAAATTTTCGTCGCCATGATGGACATTAGTAGACACAGACTTAAGATCGCCCTACTGTAGAACAAGGAATAGTTTCTTCAACAACTTAGTACAAAAATTAAATAATGTAAACTATAAAATTAATACTAATTTAACTATGCATTGTATTAAAATATAATTCCTTCTAATTTTTCAGAAATTAAATATGAAATTACAGTAGAAGGGTTAATTATTCACTGGGTTTTAATTTTCCTTATTTCGCTGACTGGAAAATGCGCTAAATTAAAACCCAGTGAATATGTAAAAATTCAGCATAGAACACATTATCTAAATGATAAAACCTTGAATTTAAATCCCATTGAATATGCCTGAAATGGTGAATCAGCGAAATTTTAACACAGTGAAAATTAGTCATTTTACAGTAGATATGATAGACGCAGGACCACATTAAAATACCCAAACATTAACGTAGTAATGAATACTAACATTCTAGAATATTCGCAGAGTTTTTGGGATACAAAATGCCATGGTCAATTTTGATTCACAGATGGCAAAACAAACTATCGGTATTTTCATTTTTTTCCCCGAGAACAACAAAACCTTGAGTATCACACAATATTAGCACAGAAGTCGGGGATGCTTCTATGTTGATCTTTCGGCTTAATGAGTTCTATTTTTTCAATGGAAAAAGAAAGGAGATAGCAATATAAGCGATGATGCCATAATGGTTGGACACGCATCAAAGTGAAGGCAATGGATAATTAGCATATCTAACAATAGAGTTTCTTAACCGTTCTTATAGTAACCATGACAAAACCAACTCTGGAATGAATGATTTAGTGGTCAGAGAGGTGAAGGAAGAGATGCTTCAAAACTGACTTTTCCTTGCCTCATGTCTCATAGGAAATATGCAAATGACTTCCATTGTTACTCATTTTGCACCCTTTTTGACTAATTTCATAATAATTAATAAGTTGAAGGCGGTGGTTGTCGTGTAGCACGTGTTCGAATCTCATGTAAATAAACAATGTATTTTACATGCGTTGTATACATCGCATATCTAACAGGACACGGCACGACAACCACCGCCCTTTAAATTACTGAAAATACTGAAATCACATATCTTTAATAAATTCTGTTTGAATAAATGTCTACAATATCAAAACAAATCAGTAAAAATCATCAAGAGTAATACAAATTAAATAGCGCCCCCAAGTGTCAAATTTTGCCTAGTTAGCATATAAAATATTTATAAATCATTATTATATCTTTTAAACGAAATGCTTGGATTGGCCAGGCAGATGTCTCTCTTTATTCCATGGAGTACTAACTTTGAAGGCATTAAAAAGTTACAACTGCTGTTTGAGTTTAATAATATTTAGATTTAAATGATGTGGACTTCAATGTACCCATGAAGACCCTTACACTTTCCACACCCATGATTCATTACTGTTTTTTATCAGTCATTAACACATTTTGTGCCATGTATGTGAAATATACATATAAAATATATTTGTAATTGTATGTGTATGCTAAGGCATTGTGGTTATTCAGGGTTTTTTTCAATTGTCATTTGAAATTTATGAAACATTTAAATATTTCCTATAAAAAACATTCATGCTTTGGAATGAAAAAATGGAATGTATTACATTACATTGGTTTATCAATGTTGCATGTTTTTTGATACAATGTACCAACAATTATCTCAGATTTATTTTCATGTTTTAATTACCTTGTTACATTACAAATGCAGCATGTGTTTATGATATTTTGAGCCTTGTCAGTTAAAATCATTTTATTATGCTTTTATAACAGCTGTTATGCCTTGTGTGGGGATTTCGAGATGATGACAACTTGCTGGTCAAGAAGCCTGTCATAAAATGGACATCGTCTGAGGTGGCTGAATGGGTAGCAGAGTTTGGTGCATGGGCCATTGATAATCATTATCCTGAAAAGTTTCTCACAAACAATGTTGATGGACGTCTTTTACTTGGAATCACAGAAGATGATTTAAAAGTTCCCCCGTTTAATATTAACATACAGCTGTACAGGAGAGCTATCATGAGTGAACTGCGTTTTGTTAAA